ATTAGCCAGTTTTCATATAATACAGCATTTACTCTTATTGGAATCCAAGAATAGTTGTTCATGGCAGAAATATTGACCTGATTTTAAAAATTGTATATTTAATAAGAACAAAGTTTAGAGATTAAGTAGGGGGCGCTGCTTTCAGCTAGATAAGAATGATCAATAGAGACTAAAGCAAATAGAAATGACTTCTGATGAATCAACAGAAGCATCTGACTGCTTAAAGATGAGAAAATAGAAAGGTGAGCAGTGAATTGCATTGCAGTTGTGTTTGAACGTGAGTCTTGGTGTTCTTTTCTGCTAGAGCATTGGCTGCTATCCTTTGTCAAATGTGAACTCTGAGCTCCTCCTTTCTGATATCCTGTTGTATCTCTGAATATATACAGTTAATTATTTATAAAACTAGACTGAGTTTGAAGACAGGTTTTGCTTCATTTTTCAAGTGGAAGAAAATTTGTCATTTTCTAAACCATTTCCCCATCTCTTTTCCTACTTTTACAGTAGAGGGAGTAGAGGGCATGAGCACTCAGGATAAATAGAAGGGCCAGCCTGAGGAAGTGGGTTCATATTACTTCTGAGTCTAGAGCTGAGAAGCAGCCACATCACTGTGATTGTAGCCATGCTTTTAACTTTGCTCTGATAAGCACTTGTCGTGATGCATGCCTCATTATTAGGTATGCCACTAGACATATAATCCCTGCAAAGAGCTTTTGATAATTCTTCTTCTGTTACACAGGCTGGAAGTGGAGCCCTGCTGACAGGCCCTCTTTTGCAGAAACACACCAAGCTTTTGAAACCATGTTCCATGATTCCAGCATTTCTGAAGGTGAGAATCTGGTATATTTATTGTTGGTGGCTAGTTCTGGGTGCTGGTATTGATAAAGATGGTAATTACATTTCAAAAATGGTCAACTTTGGGGTGAGGTCTTGGTGTGTGACACACCTTTTGGGGGCAAGACACAATTGTAAGAGAGATTTTACCTAAAAAATGCAATCAGTGTAACCTGGTTTCTCGTACCTTCAGTGAATCCCCAACAATAAAAAAAAGTCAACTTTTGCAGTTCGAGACTCCATTTGAAGATACTGAATTAATTGTTCACCTTTATTATTTTGCTATTTCTCAGTGTGTCTTTGTGTCTCATGGGTTTAATATTGAAATTATTATTTAGGGCGGTGCCTGTGGCTCAGTGGGTAGGGCACCGGCCCCATATACTGAGGGTGGCGGGTTTGAACCTGGCCCTGGCCAAACTGCAACAAAGAAATAGCCGGGCATTCTGGCTGGCGCCTGTAGTCCCAGCTACTCAGGAGGCTGAGGCAAGAGAATCACCTAAGCCCAGGAGTTGGAGGTTGCTGTGAGGTGTGACGCCACGGCACTCTACCAAGGATGATAAAGTGAGGCTCTGTCTTTGAAAGAAAGAAAAAGAAAATTATTTTTTAATTAGACATTAAGTCAGTCCCTCCATAGAGAAAATTAGTAGGTTTGGTAGTTCTTTAAGTATCAATACTTATAAT